ATGGGCATCTGGAGGTGGACGGGGGCGATGACCAGGCCGTCAAGGATGATCTTATCTTGTTGCTGATGATGGTGACGCTGACAGCGACAGCGACAGCGACGACGACAATGATGATGCTGCTGCCGATGATGTCGACGACGACGTCGATAATGATGATGAGGATGATGATGCTGCTGATGATGATGCTGATGATGATGATGGTGGTGGTGGTGGTGATGATGATGCTGCTGCTGATGGTGATTAAGATGTTGGTGGTGATGCTGAGATGATTTTGCTGCTGATGGTGACGATGACGATTGTAGGTGTGATGCTGATGCTGTTGCTGCTGCTGATGCTGATGATGATTCTGCGGATAATGCTGATGCTGGGGATGATGATGTTGATGATGATGTTGATGATGATGATTATGATGATGATGATGATGATGATGGTGTTGAGGCTGATGCTAATGATGACGATCATGCTGATGATGCTGATGATGATGCTAGTCGTGACGACGATGACGATGCTGATGATGCTGTGGTTGACGATGATGATCCTGATGCTGACGCTATTGATGATCAGGATGAGGATGGTGATGAGGATGATGATGAGGATGGCGATGTTGATGAGGAGGAGTTGGATGAGTATGCTGATGAAGACGATGACGACGGTGATGATGCTGACGATGATGTACATGATGATGCTAATGATGATGTACATGATGATGCTAATGATGATGACGACGATGCTGATGCTGATGACGAGGATGATGATGATGATGTTGATGATGCTGATGATGATGCTGATGTTGATGATGCTTCTGCTGATGATGACGATGATGATGATGATGATGATGATGATGATGATGATGATGATGATGATGTGACGCTGCTGCTAATGATGACGATGATGTTGATGCTGCTGGTGATAACGATGCGGATGATGATGCTGATGCTGATGCTGTTGATGATAATGCTGCTGATCATGCTGATCATGATGGTGATGATGAGGATGGCGATCATGATGAGGACGAATATGAATATGACGATGATGCTGATAATGCCCGAGATGATGATGAGGAGGAGGGGGAGGAGGAGGAGGACCATACTGGTGATGATGATGACGATGATGATGATGATGATGATGATGATGATGATGATGCTGATGAGGCCTATGACGACGACGATGATGATGATGCTGATGATGATGATGATCCTGATGATGATGATGCTGATGATGATGATGACGACGATGATGCTGATGATGCAGCTGATTCTGATTATGATTCTGATACGTATGATTATGGTGGTGTTGATGTAGTGATGCTGATAATGACCATGATGATGATGATGATGATGATGATGATGATGATGATGATGATGATGATGCTGCTGATGATGATGATGATGATGATGATGATGATGATGATGATGCTGATGATGATGATGATGATGAGATGATGATGATGATGATGATGATGATGATGATGATGATGATGATGATGATGATGATGATGATGATGATGATAAAATGACGATGCCCGACCCGCTTGTTCGGGCCCGCCCTCCAGACCCGCCCGGTAGGGTTCACCTTGCCGCCTGCTTGGAAGCCCGCCCGCCTGCTTCAGTGTCCCGCCTGGCCCGCCCGTTACGGTCTGCCCGCCCGACCTTCTCGTTAGGGCCCGCCAGCCCGACCCGCCCGTTAGGGCTGGCCCGCCCGTTCGCTTGCCACAGTGATTGCTTCTCCTTCCGCCCTTCCTGCTGACTCTTCTTCGCCATCAGTGGTCCTCGCTTCTTCTTGCCCCCCTCCCTTCTCGTCTCCTCCTCTCTCCTTCGCTTTCTCCCTTTTTCTTTACCCTCCTCCTCCTGTTTTGGGCGCCGCGGTAGCAACACGTGGCAGGCAGGGAAGATAACCCCCCCACAGGGGGTACGGTCGAATAAGAAGAGCACGAGTATCGAGGGTTTGGTGTATACATGCTGAGTGACACGCGGGCAAGGACGAGCGAACAATCTTACCATATTGTAGCTGTTTATGTTGTTGGTGATGGTGCGGATGCTAGTGCTGATGATGATGCTTCTTCTGCTGCTACTGATGATGCTGTTGCTGATGACGATGATGATGATGATGATGATGATGATGATGATGATGATGATGATGCTGACGATGATGATGCTGCTGATGATGATGATTCTGATGATGATGATGGCTGCTGCTGCTGATGATGCTGAGGCTGCAGCCGATGCTGATCATGATGCTGATGCTGATGCTGACGATGATGATGCTGTTGCTGATGATGATGCTTATGATGATTCTGTTGTTGATGATGCTGGTACTGATGATGATGCTGATGACGATTATGCTGGTGATGATGATGATGATGCTGATGCTGATGCTGAGGATGATGGTGATGCTGATGATGGTGGTGGTGATGATGCTGATGTTGCTTATGATGATGCTTATGGTGATGATGCTGCTGCTGATGATGATGATGGTGATGCTGATGCTGATGCTGACGATAATGGACGTGGTGGTGGTGACGGTAGTGATGATGATGTTGATGATGATGGTGATGAGGATGATCATGCTTATGATGACGCTGATGATGATGATGATGCTGATGATGCTGATGATGATGATGATGATGATGATGATGATGATGATGATGATGATGATGATGATGATGATGATGATGATGATGCTGCTGCTGCTGCTGCTGCTGATGATGATGATGATGATGCTGATGATGATGATGATGATGATGATGATGATGATGATGATGATGATGATGATGATGATGATGATGATGATGGCTGCTGCTGCTGCTGATGATGATGAGGAGGAGGAGGCGGAGGAGGAGGAGGAGGAGGAGGAGGAGGAGGAGGATCGTGATGCCACCGCTCCGCGCAGTCGGCGGTCCCTCTACTGTGGTGCTCTTGGGGGTGCTTTTGGGGGGCCTCCTGGGGTATCTTGGTGCCCTCTTGAGTGCCTTTGGGGGCCTCTCCGAGACCTCTAGCCGTTCGGATGCCGTCTTGGGAGCCTGACTGGCTGGTCTTGGGGCCTTCTTTGCACTGCCTTCTTAGAGGCCTCCCGGGCCGTCGAAGGGCCCTTCTTGGGGCCGTCTTGGGGGCTTCCTGGGCCGTCTTGGGGCCCTTCTGGCTGGTCCTGGGGCTCTCTTGGGGGCTTCTGGGGCTGTCTGGGGCTCTTCTTGGAGCCCTGCTGGGCCGTCTTCGGCTGCTCGAGGCTCGAGCAAGCGAGAACGCGATCATTTTTCAACAACCATCGGAAAACCACTGATTTTGGCATCTTGGGCGCCTGGAGGGCTTTTTCATGCCATTTTGGGCCGTCTTGGGAGCCTCTTGAGCCGTCTTGAGGCCGTCTTGGGCCGTCTTGGGGTTATTTCGGGCCGTCTCGGAGGCATTGTGTGGTCTTGGGATCGTCTTGGAGGCTATCCTTGGTCATCTCAGCAAGCTGTGAGGCGAGTTTTCTTGACGTTGTGGCTTTGGCGTTGGCTTCCGAGTGGCCGGGTATACGAGCCGAGTCCTACTGGGATTTGTTTTTCGAAGGACCCCAAAGACTTTGAACATCTGGCACGCCAAGGACCTCCTTTTCAAGCAGAAGGGGGCGGCGGATCTAGTGGCCTTCGGCCCATCACGCCACTCGATCGGGGTTGTGGACAAGAGGCTTTTTAGAGGCCTCCTCGGGTCTCAGGCATGGCCAATCGGCGGGCTCTTGGAGGTCTCTTGTGGGCCTCCTACCTGGAGGCCTCGTAGGGGCATCTGGGGTCCTCTGCCTCCTGCGGGCCTGTTGGCGGTCTCTCGGAGGCCTGGGGGCCGTCTTGAGGTGATGCTGGGGGCCACATGCGAACCCTACCCCTGCCCCCCACGATTTCTGGGGGGGAGGCTGGGGTTCACTTCGCTCTGGAGCTCTCGAACGCAGTGAACCCCACCCTCCCCCTCAGAAAGCGTGGGGGGTAGGGGTAGGGTTCGCATGTGGCACTCTATGATGCTGGCTTCTTGGGCTGGCCCCCAGGGTCTCCAAGCCCATGATGGCCCCAAGCCTCAGCACGGCCCCTTGAGACCAGCGCGTGGGAAGTGTAGATCCTTAGCGATCCTTCCGAGGCTCTGCAAAAGTCACGCAGCGAGCCCAAGAGGATCCATGGAGTGCCGAGTGGCAAATGGAAATCCCGGCTCTGGTGTCCCGCAAGAGCAGGTACAACATTCGATGCTGAGGACGCTAAGGGGCCTGAAGGAATTCCACCCAGTGCCTATGGTAAGGTGGCGGATGCCAGTGACCATAACCAGAACATGTCGTGAAGTAAGACTTGCATAGTTGGACTTGATGCGAGAATTCTTCGCTGATGTCGTGTAAGCATTTCGGAGTGGTCAACATAGCTGTTGTCACTAGACGAGTCAGATTACGCATGATAACAGGAATGTTCTTACCAGCCCGGCGAATTATAATATTTTTGAGGGGTCCCGATGCGTATCACGTTTTAGGCATACGACAAGTTACAATCCTTACCAGATATTGAAGAGTTCGAGGACTAAGTGTTGTTTGAGTTCGACGAATCATTGTGTCACCATGTATGCATATCCCTCTCTTCCACCTCCTCGTCGTTTTCCTTCTTTCTCCTCCTATTCGGTGTCTTGGCGTCACTTTGTTGATTGCACTGTCCTTTCCTGGCTGCGACCGCTTGTTTTGCCACCGTGCCGTCCTTTCCCATGGTGTTGTCTTTTTGTTGACAGTCTGTGCACGTGCCTCCCGTCATGTGAGCCCCTGCCTGAGGAGTTTTGTAACCCCCGCATTTCCGCCACGCTTTCCCGCCTGTTTCACACAGTATCCCTCATGCGCCGCATGATGGCTGCATTCTCTGGGGGAAGCGACAGTTCGACGAGTTAGGGTTTTCTATGTTATGCTTGAGCTTTCATCGAGTAAGATAACAGGGTAGACGGTTTGCCAATCCGACGCGAACCCAATCGCACACCGAAAGTTGCCCCTCCCGTTCCAAGCTCATTATTCTTCAAAGGGAGGTCGTCCATGTCTAAGTGTCCTTATGCAGGACGCTCAAGCTGTGTATTTGTCTCATGTTGCTGCTTCTGCTTGTCCGCATCCGTAGCCGTTTTGTTCCCAAGCCATTCTGGCTAAGTATACTTTGGTAAAATGCATCCGCACTCGGACACACTTACTTTCATTGCTCAGACAGGGTTTCCGAGCTGCGTTGCGTGATGGTGGTCACGAGAGCTATTGTTTGCGTGATTTTTACAGCGATCGCCACCGACTTGGCTTCCGGCTTAAGCTTCGTGTCGCAGCCTGAGCTGGACGACGTTGCGCTGGAAGAGTTCTACATTAAAGCTGACTCACACCGTGAGTGCGCTGATATCGAGCGCGGGGGCCCAGACTGGTACGATGAGGACTCGCATGTAGAGGATTGGCGACATCTTGTTTCTGTTTGTCATCAGAATCGTGAGAACATGACATGGCGAGCCAACTCCTCGCGGGTGCAGTTTGTGCATGTTGGCAAGTGCGGAGGCAGTTCAATTGGCCAGGCCATCAGGGAACTTGTCCCTTACGACGAGATCCACCTTCGGAAGGTCCAGAATTGCGAAGTAACAGAGCAGCGCAAGTGGGTCGTTTCTGTTCGAGACCCAGTAGACCGTGCCATTTCTGCTTTCAATTGGGGATTCCCTGGAGATACTCTCCCAATGATGGCGATTTACAAATGCTTCAAAACAGTGAACGAATTTGCGGAGGCTTTGCAGGACGAGAGTTGGTGTGGTGTCAGTGCTCGTCGTGCGATAAATAAACCGATATTGTCTGAACACCTCGGCAAGGGCTTCCAGTATTATTTTGACGAAGACCTTGAGTGCGTACTTGCACAAGAACTGTACTTGATTCGCACGGAGACGCTCATGCAAGATCTCACAGACGTGTTTGGTCGACTGGGGTGGAAGCTGCCCGCCACAGTTTATCACATACACGGCGAGTATCCTTTCCGAAACGAGACGTACCTCAGTGCGAAGGGGAAGCAGCTCCTGGCCAACGCGCTGAAGGCAGATTACGAGGTCCTGAGGAGGCTGGAAGGTGCTGCCAGAAACGGCAGGCCTGGAGCGTATTGAGCCGCCGCCGGCGCTCACGGCGTTCCAGCGATCGCACACCCAATGGATGATTCGAAGGCTTGCCTCCACCAGGCGGCGCATGAAAACATCTCAACTCGAGGTTGTTCCCCTCCTGCTCGTCCGCGTTCCTGCCTTCGTGGTCGTCGTCGTCGTCGTCGTCGTCGTCGTCGATGATAGGTGGATTCTGAAGTAGACTGAGGCAGTCCTTCGAAGAACAGTTGTTCAGACAGCGAGCCAATATATCAAGTGCTTTTGGTGGGAGCAGCAATGCGTCCCCAGGCGAGGTCGCCAAGGATCGCCAAGTCCGTGGAGACGGCACCGACCGTGACGACGTCACCGACGATACAAAGCACGGGTATACTGTCGGCGAGCGCCTTGCTCCGGAGTGCGCTGCAAACCGAGGAGACTTTTGGCAGCAGCAGACGACAGTAGAGGTATGAGGAGAAGGAGGCGGAGCAGAAGGAGGTGCATAACGAGGAGGACGGGCAGGAGGGGGAAGAATAGGATGAGGGAGAGGAGAGAGGAGAATAGTGCACACAATAAGTGCTCTCAGCCTCTTTACAATGAAAATCGCTTCATGTGGCTGTGCCAAACTCTGCGGTGATCTAAGAGCTTGGCAGTGTAATGCTGATGGGGAGGATGGCCGTGGTCGTGGCAATGGATGATGGAAGGGTGTAGTCGACGATTCGTGGTACTCGATTCTATGTCAGGTCGCGCCGTCCTTGGGGACCTGGTCAAATCACCAAGACAGGGCTCATTTCGATTCCTCCGATTCGATTCGATTTCGATGGCCTCCGATTCCGATTCGATTCGACTTTGGATTCAGATATGGGATCCGATTCCTCACCGGAGGCCTACCAGCCTGCCGATTTCTGCCGATTCGACTTCTCACGACTTGGCTGCCGATTTCTGCCGATCCGATTAATGTCGATCGCCGATCCGACTTATCGATCCGATTCTGGGCTCTCCTGCCGAGGCCAAGACCAGTATTCGGGGGAAGTGTCAGATTCACACCGCAGGGCGGTGGAGTTGGCTCGGGAGGCAGCACTGATCGTTCTCAGGTCGGAGAGGAAAGCTCCAACATCAGGACAGGCTCTAATCTTAAGTCGGGCCTGTCCCTCTACAGGGGGAATTTTCAAAAATAATAGAAATAGTCAGGGGACGATGTTTTGACTACTTTTGCCCATCTGGGGGGTATTCTTTGAGTCTCTTTTATGTTTCGTCCAAAATCCCCCTGTAGGGGGACACGCCCGAATTAACTTTAATCAGACTCCCAGGATGCAGTCATCGATGGCCCATTGCAGCTCTCCCTCAACCTCTAGAAGCTCTTCGCCCGCCCCCTCTCTCTGAGTGCGCACGCTCGGCGCAGCACGAGTGGTGATGTGAAAAAAACGGTCCTGGGCTTCCAGACCGTTGTTGATAAGCCTCCTTTCCTCCTTCCCCCTTCACCCCTGCCCGATGTCCTCTCCCCCTCACTCTTACTGTTGCTTCCCCCTCCCTTCCTCCCACTTCCCTGGCCGCCTCCCCTGCGGACGAAGAAGGATGAAGGAGGCGGAGGGGGATGGTGGGAAGAAGGGGAGGGGGAAAGGGGATCGGAGAGGGAGGAGGAGGAGGAGGACCCCTCCTCCAGGGCGATCTGCCCTCCACGACGCCGGGCTTCTTCGACGCCATCTATGCCAGCGCCTCCAACGTCGTCGCTGGCATAGGCCTTCTTGGGGGTGACTGAGTGGATGAGTTAGCGAGTGTGTGATTCGGGGGTCGGATGGATAGAGGGAGGGATGGAAGCAGAGGCACGGGGGGGAGGGAGAGGAGATAGTGAAGGAAAGAGGGGAGAGGAAGGGGGGAAAGCGAGGAGAAGAGCTGGGGGGGGGGCGAAGATGAGAGCGGAGAGGGGTGTTGATATGTTAAGGTGCGAACGCATGACATATAAGACCCCGCCCCTGGGCCCGCCTGTTATGCGCCAACCCCTCCTGGGAAGCTTCTCCCACCGCACCGTTTACTCTATTCGTGGAGCTTGGCGTAGAGTGCACCCGAGATCGCCGAGTGGCACCTCCAGTGCTCGATCTGGGATTTGCTCCACAAGCCTGGCAGGTGTGAGGGATGGGAGGACGAGCAGGACGAGGGAGCGCGCGGGGTTGTCGGGCGACGCCTGGGCATATAGAGGGCGCGAACAATCCATTTGGGCTCTGAAGGCTGGTGACTCGGCAGGAGGGTGAGGGGTGCGATGCAGTGGCGCGAGGGTTAGGAACAACCCTGGCATTGGAGGGTACCCTCATGTTCATCGATCTTGGGCTTTCCGCACCACAGCGTTTTTCGCAGTGGGTGTCTCCATGGGGCCTTGGCCTTAGGCGGAAGGGCTCACGTTCTTAACTCACAGTATTGTGGCCATGTTCCGACTGTAATGAGGAGGAGTGGGCGGCAGAGATCGAGGAGGAGGATGACGATCATGATGAGGAGGAGGAGGCGGAGGAGGTGAAGGAGGGTGATGAGGACCAGGATAAGAAGCCTTATGAGAAGCCGTCAGGGCGGGATCAGTTACAAGATGAGAAGACGGATCAGGATGGAGGAGGCGGCGATGGAGGAGGTTTGGGGATGAGAAGGAGGATGCGGAGGATGAGGATGAGGATGAGGGTGAGCATGAGGATGCTGGTGGTGGTGGTGATGATAAGGGTGGTGATGGTGATGATGATGCTGCTGATGATGAGGATTATGATGCTGCTGCTGATGATGTTGATGCTGTTCCTGCTGATGATGATGCTGATAATGATGATGAGACTGATGATGATACTGAGGATGATGATGAGGATGATGATGCTGCTGATGATGATGTTGCTGATGACGACGACGATACCGATGACGATAACGATGCTGATGACGATGACAATGACGACGATGATGATGTAGAGGAGAAGGCGGACGAGGATGAGGATGAGGATGATGCTGATAACGATGAGGAGGATGATAATGATGATGATGGAGATGATGATGCTGATGATGCTAATGATGATGATGATGATGATGATGCTGACGATGCTGATTTTGATGATGCTGATGATACCGATGATGGTGATTCTGATCAGGATTATTATGATGATGCTGATGATGCTGATGCTGAGGTGATGATGATGGTGGTGGTGATGATGATGATGACGATGATGATGATGCTGATGCTGATGCTGATTATGCTGTTGATGACGACGAGGACGATGAGGAGGATGATGATGCTGATGATAATCATGATGAGGATGAGGATGAGGATGATAATGCTGATGATGATGATGATGATGATGATGATGATGATGATGATGATGATGATGATGATGATGATGATGAGGATGAGGATGAGGATGAGGATGATGATGATGATGATGATGATGATGATGATGATGATGATGATGATGATGATGATGGTGGTGGTGGTGGTGGTGGTGATGATGAGGACAATGATAAGGATGATGCTGCTGATGCTGAGGAGGATGGTGATGAGAAGAGGAGGACGAGGAGGAGGAGGAGGAGGAGGAGGAGGAGGAGGAAGAGAAGGAGGAGGAGGAGAAGGAGGAGGAGGAGGATGAGGAGGAGGAGGAGGAGTTGGAGGAGTAGGAGGAAGACGGAGAAAGTGGCGGAGGACGGAGGAAGACATGGCGAAGGATTAGGAGGAGAAGGGAGGAGGGTGAAGGTGGAGGAGGAGAAGGAGGAGACAAAGAGGAGGAATGATGAGCATAGTTAATGAACAGCCGGCCAAGGACGGCAGGAATGTTGAGCTGGAATGCGGCTGGCGCCGATGCTCGAGCGCCAACCAGAAAGTCTGACGGCACTTAGGTTGGGAAATACACTTCTGACCACCAAGGGCTCACCCTGTGAGGGGAGCAGCGCGCAGCAGGCGAGAGTACCGGTGGGAGCCAGGATGGTGGCCGTCGAGGAGGCCAGAGCATTTGTCTGGACCAAAAGCATGGCCAGCACAGGGCAGGATATTTTGCCAAGGCAGGAATATGGGACAAGGTTCCCCCCCCCCTGGCCTGCCCTACTGCCAGGCGTCCCCTCTCCCTTCCAGGAGGCGAGGTGAGACCAGGCCCACTGGTGAGGCTCGGTCTCGGTGCTCCCATTCATATGTGTACGAGTTCTCGAGAGCGACGTCGATTCGTCGCCTTGCTCTCGCAGTTCTCGTTTTCTGTGAATACCACTGCCGCTTCAGGCCACAATCGATTGCCAACTGTTGATAACTCGTGACGCTTCGCGGTGCCTGGATCAAGAGAGTGCAGGAGTTTGCGGTGAGACAAAGAGGGGGGGGCAGCCGTCAAACCGAAGCTCGGGATCATCCTCGGCAGTCCCAGGAGTGGCCCAAATACGCCGTCGCAGCTCTTTCGAAAGATGCTGCTGCTGCTGAGGAGGAGGAGGCGGAGGAGGAGGATGAGGAGGAGGAGGAGGAGGAGGAGGAGGAGGAGGAGAGGAGGAAGGATGGGGGAGGGAGGGAGGAAGAACATATGGCGGAGGAGGAGGAGGAGGAGGAGGAGGAGGAGGAGGAGGAGGAGGAGGAGGAGGAGGAGGAGGAGGAGTAGGCCAGGCACGGCAAGGCCAGGCGGTTTCCAAGACAGCCACAAAAAGGGGACGCGGTGGTCCAAGGTGGTCCAAGACGGCGTCCACTAGATCGCAACAAGACGACCCGATGTGGCCACGGAGCCTCCCATCGATGGGCCAGAGATGCCACCATATTCAAACACAGTTTTTGACATGCACTTTGCCCGTTCGCTTTCTGGCCTCCCATCCTCCTAGATAGGCCCCAGAAATGTTGATGAAGCTCTCAAGACGAGACCATCTGCCCCCTATGAGGAGCCCCAAAGCGCCCCAAGAGGGCCCCGGGAGAGGCACCACCACCACCTATACTCGACGCCACGCTTGTCGCAGGACGGCCCCAGGAATCCCAGCCGATCCCCAAGAGAGACCCCAACGGGATGAAACAGAGCCCAAGCAGGGCCACAAGAGCACCCAGCAAACAAGTTTTCATGAGAGTCCCAAGAGGTCTCCCTCCCTCAGATCCGAGGCCGCACCCAACCAAGGTTCTCATAGGTGCCTCGTCCTTGCTCTCCGCGGTTGGCCATGGTGGGCAGCGCAACGGATTACCAGCCGCATCCAGTTCACAGGCAAGGGGGGAAGTCTCGCGACGTGGGCTTCCCCTGACAGGGCGTGCGGACCCGTTAAGACGCCACCCGGCCCCAGAATCAGTTCTACATGCGCCCCCAAGGCAGCCCCAGGCGCCACCAAGGCGGCCCCAGACGGCCAGACAAGACAAGACTCCACAAGACCAGATTTTACGAGACAAGAGCTGGCAAGCCACGCTAAGACTGCCTCAAAGTCGGACCAGCATGTCCCCAAGACGCCCCAAGACGCCCCAAGACGCCCCCGAGACTCCCCAAGACGGCGCCAAGGGGGGCCCCAATAGGCCCCCAAGCGGCAAACATCATGTTTTGTCTCCAGCGACATTCGCTTTTTCGATCTTCAGGGCGTCCAAGGCTGCCCAAGAAGCCTTCAAGATCTCTCCAGGCTGGTCCCAAAGGACCCGAGGAGGGCCCCCAGAGAGTCCCGGGACGGCCCAAGAGGGACCTCAGACTGTCCAAGAGAGCCCCAAGACGCCCCCAGTGGTCCCCAAGAGGGCCCCAAGAGAACTCAAGATCATGAAAAAGCCAACACATGTAAACGTAGGAAGCCGTCCTTGGCGCCAGAGCGGTCCCAAGAGGCCCCCAGGGGGCCCGAAGAGGCCCCCAGGAGGCCTCCAAGTTTCTCGAGGGCCCCCAAGAGGTCCCCAAGAGGCCCCCCAAGTGGGCACAAGAGCCGCCCAGGAGGCTTGGTTTGGCGTGGTGCCGTCTTTGGCACCAGTTTGGGGCAGGGGCTCCCCCCTCCCCGAATGGAAATACGGGGGTTGGAATGAAGAACTTTTCAAGCCATCTACGCCCAGAGGGCTCTTGGGATTTCATCGAGCTGCGCTTCATGCGGCGAGACTCGCCGTCGAGGGTGGACGAACTCAGTGCGCCTCTTGGTGCGGTCCCTGCTTCCCCGTCTCTCTCTCCCCCTCCGCCTCATGAACTTCCCCCCCTCTTCCTCCTCTTCCTCTTCTTCTTCTCAATCGTGTTGTTCGTATTCTTGTCCTTCATCTTCTTCTTCACCTCCTTCTTCCTTGGGCCGTTTCACCTTTCCTCTGCCTTACCATCTTCCTCCGACTCCGCCTTCCTTCTGCCCCCCTTTGCCTTCCCTCTTCTCCACCTCTACCCTCCTGGCGTTCTCTTGCATCGGGTCCTTTGGGCCCTGTTGCGGCCCAGACTCACGGGCCCCTAGTGGGCCTACCTCGGCTGTCGTTTCCCATGGAGGCGGCACCCGCGGGGCAGTCGCGAGTGAGAATTGCGCGTTTCAGGGCGACCGAGCCGAGCCTCTACCCTCGTCCTTTTCTTTTTCCTCTTCCTCTTCCCTCCTTCCCAAACATATTGCATAACATAGAAGCGTGACGTCTAAGAAAGCCTCCAGAGTACACCATTGCGAAAATGGCCTCGCCAGTGAGATCCTACCGTACACTGGCAGCCAGAAGTATCTAGGGCGACATTTTACATTCGATAAACAGGCGTGTGTAGAAATCGACGCACGCATCACAGCAGCATGGAAGAAGTTCTGGACATTGAAGGAATCATTCCGGTCTCGATCGTTTTCGTAGCGTGAGAAATTCCGGGTGTTCAAGCGCACCGTGATTCTCGATGTCATACGGGTGCGCATCATGGACAATGACTTTCCCACTGGAGAGACATGTACGCACAACCCAACGTCGGATGATGCGAATCATATTGGGTTCATCACGAAAACAAGCCATCAAGCTTGACGATGACGGCAAAGGATCGAACAGGATCACAAACAGCAGCAACTCATTTTTATTTGTGGTGAACTGGATTCAACGCACTACTGTTGTTATTGTTATTGTTATTGTTATTGCTACTGTTATTGTTGTTGTTGTTGTTGTTGTTGTTGTTGTTGTTGTTGTTGTTGTTGTTGAATATTATTACTTCTAAAGAATAATTATTGTTGGGCCCCCTGGTGCACGCCCCCCTCGCCGCGCCTAGGCCGCAGCCACATTTTCATCATTTTCGTGAGGAAGTCTCAGGCAAAACGGGGGAGTCCGGATCCGGTTGTTTTGTTGACGCCCGCTTTCCCTGTCAAAAAACAATATAAAATGACATGTCTTGTTCTAACATAACCAAACTTCAAGAATCCTTTGCAACAAATGACACGAAGTGCACACTCGCGCGCGCAAGATGAAATCCTTCCAAAACCTTAGTTTTCGTAGCGATTTTAACATAAAAACATGAAAAACCCAATGGTTTTTCAAAAAAAAGTTTCAAAAATTCATCCCGCGCGCTCTTGCGGATTTCTTAGGAAACCCAATACTTTTTCAACATTTCTGTCAAACGGGCTCTTGCGAGCAACTTTTTCACGTGCTTCGAACTTCTGCAACAACGGTTGCGCGCATGCCAGGGCCATCATCCCTGTCAAATAATACCATATGGGACACATTCGTTTTTTCTTCGCGCGCGCACGCCGTCGTCGTCGGCCGCGGGGCCCTGAATAGTAGCCACGGTCGTCCGCATGCCACGAAGTGAAGTGTCCGAACGTCATAGGGCGGGAAGCTGGGTGTGGGTGGTGGCGAAGAGTCGTTTGGAAATTTGGTAGAGCTTGAACCGGCCCCCCCACAAAGTGGGGGTATTGCCCGCCTCCTATGAAAACCCTGGCACTGGTGAGAACGGTGTGTCCCCACGTGCTAGTAATTGTTGTTGTTGTTGTTGTTGTTGTTGTTGTTGTTGTTGTTGTTGTTGTTGTTGTTGTTGTTGTTGTTGTTGTTGTTGTTGTTGAATACTCATGTCTAATGAGTTATTGTCGTACATCTCTGGGAACGCTTCCGCGCGCTCTCGCCTCGACGCCAGCTACATTTTCTCTGAAAACGAGGCTCCCGCTCGAGCGTTGGTTTGAGCCTACATGTGGGCCCTTGGAGGCCCAGCTGCGACAACAACGGCTCCCGTTCGATACCTCCTCACAATTTACACCGAGGCACCCTGACCAGAAAGGCCCCCGAACTCAGGAATGGGTCTCTCGCTCGAGACTTCCTCGCAATTGAATTAAGTTGGCGGAGGCCCAGCCACGACGACAAAGGCTCCTGCTCGATACTTCCTCACGATTTACTCCGAGAGCCCCTGGCCACGAAGACCCTCGCACTCAGGAGCGGCGCTCTCGCTCGAGACTTTCTTGTAATTCAGGCAAGTTGGTGGAGGCCCCGACACGGCGACAAGGGCTCCCGTTCGATGTTTCTCCGTAGGCATTCCGAGAGCCCCTGGCCAGCGAGGCCCCCGAACTCAGGAACGGCGCTCTCGCTCGAGACTTCTTCGCACTTCAGTCAGTGGCCGACAAGGAAGATATTCCCCTCCGAAAAGGGGTGAAATCGAAGACGAAGTGGGCGGTTATCGAGGGTTGGGTACATATGCGGAATGCAAAACACACGTGCCAGTAAGGGCGAACAGTCTTGTTGTTCTTGTTGTTGTTGTTGTTGTTGTTGTTGTTGTTGTTGTTGTTGTTGTTGTTGTTGTTGTTGAACATTATTACTTCTAACGAATAATTATTGTTGGGGCCCCTGGTGCACGACCCCCCCGCCGCGCCTAGGCCGCAGCCTCATTTTCATCATTTTCGTGAGGAAGTCTCAGGCAAAACGGGGGAGTCCGGATCCGGTTGTGTTGTTACGATCGGTTTTCCCTTGCAAAAAATAAGCTAAAGTGGACATTTCTTGTTCTAACATAACCAAACTTCAAGAATCCCTTGCAAAAAATAAGGTAAAGTGGACATTCGCGCGCGCAAGACGAAATCCTTCCAAAACCTTAGTTTTCGTAGCGATTTTAACATAAAAACATCAAAACACCAATGGTTTTTCAAAAAAAAATGTCAAAATTTCATCCCGCGCGCTCTTGCGGATTCGTAGGAAACCCAACACTTTTTAAACATTTCTGTCAAACGGGCTTTTGCGAGCAACTTTTTCGAACTTCTGCAACAACGGTTGCGCACCTGCCAGGGCCATCATCCCTGTCAAATAATACCATGCGGGACACATTCGTTTTTTCTTCGCGCGCGCACGCCGTCGTCGTCGGCCGCGGGGCCCTGAATAGTAGCCACGGTCGTCCGCATGCCACGAAGTGAAGTGTCCGAACGTCATAGGGCGGGAAGCTGGGTGTGGGTGGTGGCGAAGAGTCGTTTGGAAATTTGGTAGAGCTTGAACCGGCCCCCCCACAAAGTGGGGGTATTGCCCGCCTCCTATGAAAACCCTGGCACTGGTGAGAACGGAGTGTCCCCACGTGCTAGTAATTGTTGTTGTTGTTGTTGTTGTTGTTGTTGTTGTTGTTGTTGTTGTTGTTGTTGTTGTTGTGTTTTTTCGATTGAAGTGCCTTTCCCGGGGCTCGCACCTGGTTTTTTATCAGGGAAAGTCTTGAGGGTCAAACTGTGTCGTTGGCCCCTGGTTTACAACAACAACGGCTCCCGCCTTATATTTCTTCACAATTTATTGAAGAATCGCGCTCTCGCTTGGGACTTCCTTGCAATTTACCATCGGGTCGCGGCTCCCGCTTGATACTTCTTAAACATTTATTGAAGAATCGCGCTCTCGCTTGGGATTTCCTCGCAACTTACCACCGAATCGCGGCTCCCGCTTGATTCTTTTTGACATTTATTCAGATGCCGCTGGTCGACACTCAGGAATCGCGCTCCCGCTACATATTGCCTGGCGGTTCAAGCAGAATTTGCGCTTCAACGACCCGCCCTCTCGACCCGCCCGTCTGGGCCTGCCCGCCCGACCAGCCCGTTAGGGACTGCAGTCGCCGCTCGCTGCCCTTCGTCCGGCATCCTGGGGAGAAGCTGGTGCCCGTGCTGAGTGTGCTACCCATGGGCTTCAAGGGCGCTCTGTACGTCTGCCAGGCCCTCCACGAGGCCGTGGCCGAGGGGGTCGCGGGCGTTGAGGGGGGCAACCGGCTGGTGGACGGGAGGCCAGCGCCTTCCGTTGCCCGAGGGCCGGTGCACACCGAGTACGTGGACAATTTCGTGGCGCTGGGCACCGACGGCGAGGAGGGGCGCCGCATGGCCACCGAGGTCGGCGAGGCGCTGAAGGCCGACGGGCTTGGCGTGCACCCGGTGACCTGCAGCCGCGGGGGGGACACGCTCGGCTGGCACTTCGATGAGTGGCGGCCGGCCGTAGGCGTCGCCCCTCGCACCGCCTGGCGCCTCATCCTTGGTTTGCGAGAGTTACTGCGACGGGGTCGTGCGAGCGGCGCCCAGTTGAGAAGCATCGTTGGTCACATCACGTTCCGCGTCTTGCTCCGACGACCCATCCTTTCTGTACTTTACACTGTCTACGCTTTTATCGATCGTCATCCTGTTCGGGTTGCGCCTCTCTGGGACACAGTAAAGCAGGAGCTGGAGTGGATAAGTCGCCTGGTGCCCCTGGCCTCGAGAGAGCTCAACATGGAGTGGAGCCCCAAGGTCACCGTGTTCGACGCGAGCGAGTGGGGGTACGGGGTGATGGAGCGGCGATGTGAGCTCGGAGCGATCAAGTATGCTGGGCAGTACTCTGATAGGTGGAGGTTCACAAAGTCGGGGGAGCAACGGGTACGACCACGTGACGAGGAGGGAGTCTGGGGACAAGAGCAAGGTGATCTTCGAGGGGTGCCTGCGGTGCCCAGGTCTGTCTGGGGCGGGTGCTGGAGGCGCGTGGCTAGTAGGCCTTGGAACGTCTCGGGGGACCAGGTGATCTTGGAAGCTCGGGCCGGCGTGTGGGCCCTTCGTCACATTCTTCGGGACAGCCGTGCTATAGGACGCAGACACCTCGTTCTCAGTGATGCCATTGCCGTCGTGCTCGGTGTGGCAAAGGGGCGGAGCTCGAGCCGGGCCACGGGGCGCTGCCTTAAGCAGTGGGTTGCCCTGTGCCTGGCCAGCTTTGCCGTCGTTCACGTTCGCTGGATCTGCTCCGAGCGGAACGCGGCGGACGGCGCCTCGCGGGGCTCTGAGGAGCGCAGCGCCGCGGCTGCCCGGCATGCTGAGCCGCGGGCCGACGGATCGACGGCTCGAGAGCGCCTCGCTCGCCACGACCTCAGCGGCTTCGAGTTCGTGGATCCCGTCACCGGCGGCTTCATCGGCTGCGAGGGGACCGATCGCTTCGTCTTCCGGCCGCCGCCTGGGCTCGCTCACCCCAGCGATCCGAGCGGGGGTGAAGAGGAAGGCGAACGGGAGCCTGGGGGAGGCGAGGCGGCGCCGCCGGCAGGCCGCAAGCAGGGCCGCTGGCGCGAGCTCGGCCGCGCACCAGCTCGCGGGCGCCAGCCGCGAGGTTGCCGCCGACGGCAGGCGGCGGGCGCTGCTGGGGCCCGGGCTGACGCAGCTGGAGCGGGGGGGGCCCCCGGGGGCGCGCGCGCGGACGGTGCTGGAGGACGAGGCAGTGGGGCCCTCGACGCAGAAGGACTACCGCCACCGCTTCGGCTGTTTCACGCGCTGGGCCTCGGAGAAGGGTCTCAGCTGGGAGACTCCAGCCAAGGCCGACGCGGCGCTGGTGGAGTGGCTGAACGAGCAGTTCTTCGAGGGCGAGCCCCTGGCGACCGGCGCGAAGATGCTGGCGGCGCTGGGCCACCTGCTCCCGGGGGTGTCCCGTGGGGCGCTGGAGCTGCGACGCTCGCGGCGGGCGCTCCAGGGCTGGAGGCGTCACAACCCGTCCAGCTCGCGCCTGCCGCTGCCGTGGCCTGTGGTTGCTGCCTTGGTGAAGGAGATGCACGCGCAGGGGCAGCTGGCGGCCGCAGGGGCCACCCTTGTGGCGTTCGTGCTGCTGCTGAGGCCGGCGGAGACGCTGAGGCTGGCGGGCGGCTGCCTGGTGGCTCCGGTGCGAGGCGGAGGCCGCAGCCGCCGCAAGTGGTCAGTGGTGCTCCACCCCCAAGAGAGAGGAGTGACCTCGAAGGTGGGGGCGCAGGACGAGTGCATGGTGTTCGACAACCCCGAGTTCGACCTGGTGCTGCCGCTGCTGGAGTGGCTGCTCAAGAGCGTGCCGTTCGGGAAGCCTCTCTTCCCGCTGAGCGCGGCCCAGTGGCAGGAGGCCCTGGGGGCGGCGGCCAGGCGGCGGTTTCCCAGCCTCGCCGCGCCCACGCTATACCAGCTCCGGCACGGCGGCGCGTCCCACGAGGCGCTCGCGCAGTTCCGCAGCTCGGAGGACCTCATGCGCAGAGGCAGGTGGCACAGCCAGCGCTCCGTGAAGCGGTACGAGAAAGGAGGGCGCGTCAACCAGGTGCTGCAGTCGCTGACGGCGGAGGAGCTCAACGCGGCGCTGGAGGCCGAGCGCACCCTCGGCGCGTGCCTTTCGCGGACATACCGCGGTTAGCCGGGGCCAAGGGCTTCGCGCTGGAGATCTTCGCGGGCAGCGGGCGCCTCAGCCACTGTTGGAGGCAGCAGGCGCCCTGGGGCCTGCCCATCTTCGAGATCGACGTCGGCTTCCACAGCTCACACGATCTCAGCCGCAGAGCAGCTCAGCGTCTCATCCTGGGCTGGATCCGCTCGGGGTGCTGTAAGGCGATCTGGCTGGGAACGCCCTGCGCGACCTTCTCGCGGGCGCGGGGCTCCGGGGCCGGGCCGCCTCGGCTGCGCTCGGATGAGCAGCCGCTGGGCCTGGGCGGGCTGTCGGAGGGCGACAGGGTGAAGGTGGAAGTGGCGAGCGAGCTCTGCCGCTTCTCCGCCAAGGCCCTCCTGTGCTGCCTCGAGCGGGGCGCGCCGGCGGCGTTGGAGAACCCCGCGTCGTCCCGCCTGTGGCTGACGCCCTACATGCGGGCCGCCGGCCAGCGGCCTGGGGTGAGAGAGACGGTGGCAGATTTCTGCATGGATGGCGCTCCCTGGCGGAAGCGAACGAGAATCATGTATGCTCATCTTGACTTGAGTGCGGCAGCGCGCGTGTGTCATAGTGCTAGGAATGAACATAAGTGTGATCGCACTGGTAGAAGGCATGTTGTGTTGCATGGTAAGGGTCCCGATGGTAGATGGCTTACTAAGACGGCTGAGCCTTATCCTCGACCCTTGTGCAGGCGTCTTGTCAGTCAGTATCGTGCTTCCATGATTGCTCGTGCTGTGTGTAACCTAAGAGAGAGAGAGAGAGAGAGAGAGAGAGAGAGAGAGAGAGAGATTGATCTGAACGGCGTGCCATGTTTAGACTTTGGAGAGGTCTCAGTTTGGAGTTGACTAACGTATGAATTCATCCTCTGTCTTTGTGCGCGAGTGTCTTCCCTGCCAGCGAGTAGCCTTTCCACTCGCACATAGATTGACCTCTGCGAGGCGTGGCCATGGCGTGAGAAAGGTGGCAAGAGATCTGCCCGTGCTTGTACATTGATCTTGGGGCCCCTCTCGAACGAAGTTGGCCGAATCTCGTTGCGCGTGCTCAGACAGAAACCGACCCCTTTCAACTGAAAATGGTCGGTTTTTCTGGTGGCAAGCTAGAATCTTGCCTATGTGTTTTCCGTAACTGTCTCGCTCAAGCTCCCTCCCTTGTTCCTTATATGCACTGTCGCAAATGTTTCTGCCCGCCCATGCTTCGACTCGACAGCGGAGTTGACTAACGTATGAATTCATCCTCTGTCTTTGTGCGCGAGTGTCTTCCCTGCCAGCGAGTAGCCTTTCCACTCGCACACATATTGACCTCTGCGAGGCGTGGCCATGGCGTGAGAAAGGTGGCAAGATATATATATATATATGTGTATATATATATATATATATATATATATATATATATATATATATATGTATGCCCTTCGTGGCCCCCGCTCGTTCGCGCCCGTCGTGGCCCCATATGCGTGCCCTTCGTGGCCCCGTTGTCGCCCTTCGTGGCCCCCTCTCTGCCCTTCGTGGCCCCGTTTCTGCCTTCGGCGGCTCCGTCGCAGCCCTCTGCGGCCCCCTATACGTATGCCCTTCGGGGCCCCCGCTCGTTCGCGCCCGTCGTGGCCCGCGCCAACAACGGCTCCCGCTTGATATTTCTTTACAATTTATTGAAGAATCGCGCTCTCGCTTGGGACTCCCTTGCAATTTGCCACCGAATCGCGGCTCCCGCCTGATACTTCCTGACAGTTGATTGGAGAATCGCGCTCTCGCTTTGGACTTCCTCGCAGCCATACGCAAGCCCTTCGTAGCCCCGCTGTCGCCCTTCGTGGCCCTCTCGCTGCCCTTCGTTGCCCCTTTGCTGGCCTCAGTGGCCCCGCTGTCGCCTTTTGTGGCCCCATATACGAATGGTTCCACGAAGTTTGTTTCTGACACCAGTTCGGACCCACCCAGCGACCCACCCTGCGACCCACCCGGCGACCCACCCGCGACCTATCCGCGACCCACCCGCAACCCACCCCGCGACGCACCCGCGACCCACCCTGCGACCCACCCCGCGACCCACCCCGCGACCCACCCGCGACCCACCCGCGACCCACCCGCGACCCACTTGCGACCCACTTGCGACGCACCCCGCGACCCACCCGCGACCCATCCGCGACCCACCCGCGACCCACCCAGCGACCCACCAGCGACCCACCCGCGACACAGCCGCGACCCGTTTGCGACCCACCCGCGACCCACCAGCGACCGACCCACATTGGCTTAACAAAAAAATCGGCGCTTGCGGCGGGCTCGTGGTATAAGTTGTGAAACTTTGGCGCCTGCGGCTGGCTTCTCCGGAGTCTCGCAGGCTGCCGACGTCCCCACCGCCCCCTCACTCTTATCCGCATTTGGGGGGTGCTACGTTTAAGTCGGGCCTGTCCCTCTGCAGGAGGAAAATATAATAAATAATGAACAAATCGTGAGGGGACCATTTATAAAACAATGTTTGGGTATTCTTGGAATATGTTTGAAATCTGTTTTATTTCTCGTCCAAAATCCGCCTGTAAGGGGACGTGCCCGACCTCATGCTACGTATTTCCGAGCGGGTATTTGTCAATTGAGGCTATAGTGTTTGGGCTATTGTGCAGCACGAGAACGGCAGTTTGAATGGGCGCAGAGAGAGAGTCACCACGGGCAGCCTGTATAAACATCGGCATACCAGGCTCCCTCTTCTGGGATCCGGAGTGTACAGGTCCTTCGGCACCTGCAGGGTCCTTCGGCACAAGCGAAGGTTGGTACGGAAAGAGTGGGCACAATGCCCAACACCAGTTCCTGTTCATTTTGAACTGCAGTCGCTGTCCGCGCCGCCGCGGCCTGTGTCCTCTTGAGACAGAAGGCGGCCTGCCCAGCAGAGGGCGTTGTTGGTTTGGGACAACATCTGTTGTTGGGCATTGTGCCCATTTCTTCCTTACCCAGTTCGGGCGTCCAAAATCCTGGACGCCGATGGGTCGACAAGGTGCTCTTGTGATGGGCTACGGCTCCATCGCCGTCCTGCGCAGTAGGCGTTCCCCGCATGCGCGTGGAGCGGTGTCGGCGCCCGTCCCGTACCGTTTCTCCCCCGCCACCTTCCTTCTCCGCTACGTCCTCCTTCTCTTTCGCCGGCCCCCTCCTCCACCGCCCCCCTGCGCCCCCTTGCTCCCCCGTCTTCCTCTCCCTCTGGCTTTCCTCATTCTCCGCCTTCTCTCTTCTCCTCTGTTCTCCGTCGTCCTTCTCCTTGTCCTTCTTCTCCCCCCTCGATACCCCTGCCGCCCTCGCCCCATTCTGCCAACTCCGCCCGTTCCTTCCTCCTCCGCCCGCCTTCTCCTCCTCTCCCCCTCCTCTTCCCTTCTCCCCCCCCTCCTTCTCCTCTTCCTCCTCATCCTAAATCTCAACCTCCATCACCCTCGTCCGCTTTCCTCCTTCACTTCTGCAGTGCTCCTCCTCCTCCTTCTCCTCCGCCTCCTGTACCTGCACCCTCTCTCGCCCTTCTCCTCGTCCTCCTCCTCCTCCTCCACCCTCCTCCTCCTCCTCCTCCACCCTCCTCCTCCTCCTCCTCCTCCTCCTCCTCCTCCTCCTCTCCTCCACCCTCCTACTCCTTGTGCTCGCCCGTCTCCCCCTGAATCGTCCGCCTCCTCCTCCCCCTCCACCTCCACCTCCGCCTCCCCCTTCCTTCCCTCCTCCTCCCCTCCTCCGCCCCTCCTTCCCCTTCCCTTTTCCCCCTTATCCGTCTCTACCTCCGCTGCCCTCCCCCTGCGCTTTCCTGTTCGCCCCCCCCGCGCTTTCCCGTTCGCCCCCCCCTCGCTCTCCTCGCCTCGTCCGGTGCCGACCGCTCCCGTCCTCGTTCCCTCGGCCTCTGCCCCCCCCTCCCGAGCCGCCGCGCCCAGGCCTCGGGGACTCGACGCCGAGCGCAGCGAGCGCCGCCGACCAGGTCCCGAAGGGGGGGAATGCGGGGTAGGGGTGGGCCGAGGAGTCGAGGATGTGGAGGAGGAGGGGGAGCAGAACAAGGAGGGTGGGGAGGATGAGGAGGAGGCGGAGGAGGAGGAGGAGGAGAAGGAGGAGGAAGGAGGAGGATTGAGGAGGAGGATGGAGGAGGGGGATGAGGCGGAGGGGGAATGAAATGAGGCGAGGGAGTATGAGGATGATAACGAGCATGAGGATGAGGATGAGGATGAGTATGGTGATGATGTTGCTGCTGCTGCTGCTGATGATGATGATGATGATGATGATGATGATGCTGATGCTGATGCTGATGATGTGGAGGAGGAGGAGCAGGAGGAGGAGGAGGATGAGGAGCTGGATCTGGAGCTGGAGCTGGACTCAGAGCTGGATGATGGTGATGATGCTGATGCTGATAATGATGAAGATTGTGCTGATGATGATGATGATGCTGATGTTGACGATGATGATGGTGGTGGTGGTGAAGATGATGAGGATGCTGATAAGGACGATGATGGGTGGTGATGGTGACGCTGCTGCTGATGATGATGCTAATACTGCTGCTGCTGATCTTGGGGATGATGATAATGATGATGAGGATGATGATGACGATGCAAATGATGATGGCGATGCTGCTGCTGATGATGCTGATTATGATGATGATGATGCTGATACTGAGGATCATGATGCTTTGGGTCAGGACGATAATGAAAGAGAGAGAGAGAGAGAGACAAGCAGGTGTGGAAGATGATGCTGATCGTGTTATGGAAGGTGGTGGTGATCGCGATGCTCTCTCCGGTGATGGTGGCGGCTGTTGTGACGGTGATGAAGGTGACAGCAGCGACCATGATGATCACCCTGCGGTGACGGTGATGCTGCTGATGACGATAGTGGTGAGGGTGAGGATAGGTTTGCTGAGTATGACCATGCTGCTGCTGATGATGATCCTGGTGCTGATGAAAAGGCTTGTGGTGGTGGTGATACTGATGATGATGCTGATGTTCGTGGTGTTGGTGGTTGTGGTGGTGGTGATGGCGATGCTGATGCTGCTGCTGCTGATGCTGGTGGTGGCGATGATGACGATGCTGATGCTGCTAATGATGATCGTGATGATGATTCTGATGATGATGATGATGATGATGATGATGATGATGATGATGATGATGATGATGATGATGATGATGAGTAGGAGTAGGAGTAGGAGTAGGAGCGGGAGCAGGAGTAGTAGTAGTAGTAGTAGTAGTAGTAGTAGTCAGAGTAGTAGTAATAGTAGTAGTAGTAGTAGTAGTAGTAGTACTAGTACTAGTAGTAGTAGTAGTAGTAGTAGTAGTAGTAGTAGTAGTAGTAGTAGTAGTAGTAGTAGTAGTAGTAGTAGTAGTAGTAGTAGTAGTAGTAGTAGTAGTAGTAGTAGTAGTAGTAGTAGTAGTAGTAGTAGTAGTAGTAGTAGTAGTAGTAGTAGTAGTAGTAGTAGTAGTAGTAGTAGTAGTAGTAGTAGTAGTAGTAGTAGTAGTAGTAGTAGTAGTAGTAGTAGTAGTAGTAGTAGTAGTAGAAGTGTAGCAGGTAGTAGTAGTAATAGTAGTAGTAGTACGTAGTAGTAGTAATAGTAGTAGTAGTAGTAGTAGTCGTCGTGGTAGTCGTGGTAGTAATAGTAGTAGTAGTAATAGTAGTAGTAGTAAGGTAGTAGTAGTAGTAGTAATAGTAGTAGTAGTAGTATAGTAGAAGTAGTAGTAGTAGTAGTAGTAGTAGTAGTAGTAGAGTAGTAGTAGTAGTAGTAGTAGTAGTAGTAGTAGTAGTGGTAGTC